ATCAGTTCCATCAGCCTTTTCATTTTTCAAAATTTTCACAGCTTGCGTAATTTAATCTGCAGAGATAGTAAACTAATATCCGTTTCCTGCTGCTCTGCAGCCTTGTCTTCCTGCGGTTACTCTTGCTTAAGGACTTCTTCAAAGGACTCTCGCTATAGCCGAAGAATGTTATCATCTTTGCTAAGAGGGAGTCCAGACATCTCCTTCAAGACTCTTAGACTGCCTTTTATTTCACCTTGGAGCCCGTGGATGATCTGCAAGAATTCCTTATTTGCCGTATGAAAGTTCGACTCCAACCCGAACTTCTCCCAGGATTCAGCCTTGGCTTTCGCCACTGCTTTCGCTGCCGCCTTGTGTGCCTCAGCGTATCGCACGCGCGCGTAGAAGGCTCTTTGTCTCCAAGCCGTTTCTTGAACGCTACTTTTTTTGTTGTCAGTTGCACTTCTGGTGTCCACCAGCAGGATCTTTTCTGACCTCCAGGCGGCAGGACAACCCGTTTAAATCTGCAGCATTCAGTGACAGTCTTAAAGAGCTGTCACTCTATCCACGTCAGTGGTCTACACCGGGATCGTTTCAAACCGTCCTGCGCTGTTGTTTTCAAATTTCACTCTCCTGTTCACCGAAGATAATGTTTCCCAGTTGATTCTCTGGTTGCTTCTGCCACCAGATCTTCCTATCGTACTCTACTTTTTACAGTGCTGTGTGCCAACAACAAGGTAATGATCGGTTGATAATTCTGCATCTCTCTTAACGGGGACATCCACTAGCGAGCGTTTTAAGTCAGACGATACGATTAGCAAATCGATCATCGACTTCTGTGCACTTCTGTGACTTCTGTGCTTCTCCATACCCGGTGTACTGATGCACTTTTCGATGCTCGAAGGTGTTCATAATGGACAATCCGTTGTTTGCATTAAACCGCAATAATTTCATTCCATTATTGTTGAGGTGGCTAAGACCTTTTCTTTCCAATCGAGCTATTCCACTTTTCAGCGTCTACTCCGACATGCGCATTAAAATCGCCCATGAGTATGAGAGATTCTATATTTGGCACTTCCGACGGAGCGCACTGTCCTTCCTCAAGGAAAGTATATTTTCCCTCAAAATTGGGCGCATAGACCTGTACCAAGGTCATCGATTTAGCCTGTTGTAGCTTCAGTCGGAGGATTGCCACTCTTCCACTGACTGGCTTCCAATTAGTGATTCAATGTTCGTGGTTGGGTTTCAACCAGAATAGCAGCACCGGCCTTAGCATGAATCCTGATATCGATACCTGGGTAGAATAGCTTCCATCCGCTGAGATTCAGGGTTCCACAGCCTTGGTGCTTCGTTGACGAGAGTCCATCATTGTCGAGTTGGTAGTTTATGGCCTCATCAACTAACTCTTGTTATTTCTCTCTGATTGAGGATATGTTCCAATTTCCGACTTTAGGCTCCCCCTTGCAGTGTCATTCCTGTGGAGCGTTTTCTGGCGTGCTGTAATGGCATCGCGCTCTCTGCCTCCTTCGTTGAGAGCGGGTACGGAATCCGTTTTCGCAGCTTGCCTCAGTTCTTCAGCAGCCTGCAGGCCCTTGGTAACCCGGGCCTCGACCGAGCAGGTGTAATTTTCGATGGCATCAATACATTCAGTGGCATGTAGCTAAGTTTTACGGAGACTTTGCTATGGTCTCCAGCCCTCTTCGTTTCTGAATCAGGCTTAGAATCGGCGGAGTTCGAATAGAGTTACAGCCATATTTAGACAGAATCTTCGTGTAAATGATTCTTAAGTCATTAGAAATATATTTGTTTTGCTTATATTTTCATTAGTATTCCACATGCATTCAAGTATTTGGGAAGTGAGTTAATGACGCACAAAAATAGTTAGTTCTGTAGCTGTTAAACAGTAATAAACTGAAACTGCTGTGTCTCCTATAACGAGTTTTCAGGATTTTATTTTCTATTTGCCTGTTAGTTCTTAGTCTTATTGCTATTTATTCTCCTTATGTAGTTTGATAACTGCTATTCCCATTTATTCATATTGTGTAAGGTGTTTATGCTTAGGCTAAGAAATAAAATTGTTTTGTGATCCGGTTTAAGCAGTAGTCATCAGTGACTTGAAACTCTTGTATTTCAGGCAGCAGCGCACAATGCATGCAGTCCGAGAGAGTATGACAGTGGATACATCGTTTGTGTTTGTAATGCCTCCTACTGTGACGACATTTTGCCGTCAAGTTTCACAGCGAAGAATCAAGTGTTTATGTACACTTCGAGTAGAAGCGGCAAACGTATGGAAAGAAAGGAACTGGCCTGGACAAAAAATTCGAAGCTTGCTATGGTCAATCACGCTTCAGGTATTTTGTTAATAATGTTAATATTTCGTCAATGATATATCATCGGCGTTAAGATTTATACAGTGAATAGTAGTGTTTAAACAAAGTACTTGCGATTATATTACTTGCCAGCTGCGTTTCCAGAATTCCGAAGAATTCTTGTCTTAGAATGGTGTTAGACAAGCTATGGCTGGAGCTATTTTGATTCTGGATGATATGAGGGATTGTTTTTTGATCTCACTACTTGCATATCAAGCAACTCATGAAAGTTGAAGTGCAAATTACAGTTTGAAAGTTTTATCGCTGATGCAACGTTGCTTCGTAAAGCAGTATTACGACGACAGCGTCTAATATGGCAGTAGTTGTTTTCAGACGATACTGGCTCAGTTTTTCCAACTGCTTGGCAGATAGACGGCATAGTTTATAAAATCCCGTCATACAACTTAAGGAAGTCAATGTAATTGATATTCCAGTGTTTACTTCTAAATTCGTCTTTTGAATTTTTTCTTATACCTGTTTATCTTAAAGGCATTGAGAATTCTGTTAGTCCCTGCTGTTTCCACTACTTTATTGCCTGGCTGTTTCAATGTTCATTAGGGGCTTTTGCTGCTGTGCCCGCGGCTGGTGGCATGCACTGACTGCTCTTCGTCTGGGTGTATCTTTTATTTTGGCTTTCAAGAATTAAGCTTGTAGCGTGGCAGATGCTCGGCTGACTTTATGAAATTTGTGTAAATATTACAAGAAATTGCTGAATCAGTATATGCTCTGCTTAGTTTGATTTTATGTTGATCATAACCGCATATCTATAGAGTTTGGTGCGGAAACTGGGTACTGGTGTCGGTGTTGCCAAAATTTTTACAGTGTCAACTGCGCAGTTTCCGTTTGAAAGTCTGCAAGCACTGGCATGATCATGAACGATATAAAGTCATATTAAATAAAAGGTTTTCGGGATTATTGAACACTGAATAGCGTGGACCTTTACGGTCTGCGTCATCTTGAGAAGGAATCACGGATCTTCAGAGGAAAAACAGATGTGGAGCTTTGTTTGTGATTTAACCACGTAGCACTTTAAATACTGCGCAAAGCAGCTTCGTTAATGGTCCTTGCATTTCCAGAAGCTGCATCTGCTGAAGCTGCGATTATTTGGCCATGTAGTAAGAAGAAACCTAGTGTCTTAAGAAAGTTTGTTTGCGGTGTGGCTGAC